ATGTCTAATTTTATGGCATTTATTACTCTATGGATAAAATCAGTTCAATGTCTCCTACATTTTGTGCATTTGCCATTTCTATTCATTCATCAAGCCACACAGAAATTAACACAAATATTCTAGGCTTTATGAACTTAAAATTTTGAATCAGCTTATTGTTCATGTTCACATAAGCAGTTTGAGATGCTCTTCGTTTGAATTTTTTATTGAATTACCAAATGAATTTTAATATGTATGCTTTTCTTCAAAAGTCCATTATTTGCATTCAGCCCTCAACTGACGCAGTAACCCAAAAACAGGTCATCCACTTTAAGCCTAAAATGGATCTTTGGGATGTAAAAGTACGGATACTAGTACTGTCGATGATTTTGCCATACATAAGACTAAAATAATTCAAGAATCTTTTGAACGTGTAATTCAATCCCTGCCTTCTAAATTCGACAGACCAAGCCTTCCACAACTTCCTCGGCTGGATTGGGGCTTTTCTTCTTGGTCTAAAAGCCGATCTGAGCAGTTGACTACGTTAAGCCAACTGGAGTGGTGTACATCACGCCAGATCATGCTATGTCTAGGCAATTGATTTAAATAATCCAGGAACCGTATTGGAAACGTGAATACCCATTTTGGAGAAACCTTGACGAAAAACTACCAAAGTCAAAAACATTTTTTTGTTCTGTCCCTATGCACAATACAAATGCAACATCAGATGAGGTGTTGTTTTTGAAAAACGAGAAAGTTGCAAAAATGCCTGTCACAGCTTGGCGCACTGAATTCAGCCTTTGCTTCGTCGGGAGAAGGGTTCAATGATTTGAATCTGAGGAGCTGAGTACGTTAATGCTCTTGGAATTTTGTCCACCGGTTCTATTCATAACCCAGTCCAAATTAGGTGGAGTCTGGTGATTATTTCATTTTCAGTTTTACACCGAGTACATCCCGTCTGCGCAGGAAACGTGGCCTGGACATCAGCCCGTTCACTCAGGGTTAGTCATCCAGGTTAATATCGGTAGCCGGAAAACATCTCTTCAAGTGCTAAATTTATGATGTTCCCCAGTCGAGCTTTCTTCATTTGAGTTTTGTTTTGTTGCATCCCACTTCTTTTGAGGCAGTATTTATTGTCAAATCAAGGATACCAATTTCTTTTTTTATGGCTAAAACGTGGACCGAGGATTATTGAAATCATGTACTGGAGAAGAAGATTTGATAGGTGCTAATGTCTGATATCAATATTTCGGGGGATTAATCAGAATCTACAAACATAACACTGGATTACGCGTTGGTTTATTAAAAACAACTTCATGTACCACATGGGCAGCTCGACTTTGCTGCGCAGGATCTTCTCTGTAAAACTGGATGTGTGACGTGTCCTCCTCGCCTTGGCTGCACATGTCAACTCATGGCTTCGTTGACTTTGTAGAAATGGATGTGAGACGTGGGGACCTCGCCTTGGCTGCACTTGATCCCGTCAGCTCATGGCTTCGTTGACTTTGTAGAAATGGATGTGAGACGTGGGCATCTCGCCTTGGCTGCACATGATCCCGTCAACTCAGGGCTTCGTTGACTTTGTAGAAATGTGTGAATTCGTTGGATAGGATTCATATTATTCATTTCGTTCGCTATTTCAGCATTCTATATTAGAGAAGGTAACGGTTTCTTGTGGTATTATTTAGCGTGAGATGAAAGATACCGTTTGAGAGTTTTACTAAAAAGCCAATGCGAGGTGTATTTTTACCATTTAGATATCTAGCTCATGATCTGATCGGTTCGTCTGAGAGACCTCCATATACTTATAAAGATCTTTTGACATTTGGGAATAAAAAATGTTACTTTCTATTTTCTCTAGCTGTGTGACATCAGATTACATTTATTTTCGTTAAATAAATACAATCTAAAGTACTGCGTGGGTGGATGTTGTCAATTGACACGAAGCCATGCCATCATCGCCCATCAAGAATATGGTAATTTCTCAATTAGGCTTCCTAGGATAGTGTTTAAGAAAACTGAGCTCTTCTTAATTTGTCATCTATCCAAAAGACGAACTTGCATATTTTCAACGCTTTCCTTTTCGTGATTTCAGCTATCTTAATTAAAGTTTTACAATAGATGTTACGACCTTTAGCTAGGACTGTTATTACTATCCACTTGCACAGCACCAGACGTGACAGGTCATATTGTCGGACATCTCTGCCTATTTTGAAACCGAAGATGATGTTTACCCACATTGAAAGTTCATTCTTTGAGTTGCTTATTTTAAAATTGAGGATTTGGAGGGGTATCAACTGTCGCACAAAATCCTTCAAAAATGGCACGGAAATTGTCTATGTATTCCCGAATATATGCTTGTTGATAATCGACAGCTCATTTCAATATAGTTTTCAAAGTTTATGATGTCTTCACTTCAACTTCTAATCTTAAAAATTTAGTGACAAGTTTTTCGTGCAAAACTGAGTTACGAAGAGCATAGATGACAAAATTTTCATCGGAATTCCAGGAGTGGTCAATCTATTTATCCATTTGAACTGGTACTGATAGTATATGTCCTCGTTACAGATTATTCTCCTGAAGCGACTTTTAAGTCATGTGTTTCTTTGATGATCGCCTGTTAAAAAGAACATTTATGGCAGCTTATTTAGTCAGCTATATACCAATAGCATCATTATGTAATTTAAACCTGAACCGAGAGGAAATTGAGAAAGAAAGACCATCTAAAGTGGCTGTGTCATACCTCTAAATAGCTTTAAAAGACCCCACCTTGGGGAGGAGAATTTCTAAATTGGCTACTGAATGCTTCCAAAGGAAAATAACATGATGTTAGAAAATTATGTAAATGAGATCTCTGAAGAAACCCTACAAGCGAGAGAACAAAAAGATGAAAAGCTTAGAAAATAAACCTGCCTCTCGGCAACACTACTATTGTTAAAGCTGCCAGCATCAGCTTCTACAAAAGAAGCACATACATTTTTCTTTCATTTTCTTTCAATTCTGGAAAAATCACAATATGGGCATGTGCATTTGAAGCAACTAGTATACTGCAACAAAGCAAGAGATATTCCGGGTCATCACCCCGCGTTAATGAGGGGCAGAGGAGAAAGGAGAAGAGGACGGACACCAGGAGGAGAATGCGGGCGGGGGAGGGAGCAGGAATGAGACTGCTCCTCACTGCAGGGGAAGCCCGGTGGAAGAAAACCAGTGAACACCAGGAGGAGGAAGAGTCTACAGGTACTGGTTGAAGTAATGCTATCGTCCTGATTTGCTGGAAACCCGCCGAGGGATTCGGGGCATATCCTGGAGAAACAGAGATAGAGCGAGAGAGAGAGAGAGAGAGAGAGAGAGAGAGAGAGAGAGAGCCAAAGAGAGCGAGAAGGGCAGAGAGGGAGGACCGGGGGGAGGGGGCGAGAGGGAGAAAGGTGACTCAGGCTGCGGGAGCAGTGACGAGTGACCATAGGGCTTTGGTCTCCGGAGGAAACTAGTACCCGGCTGACTGACGCGTACCAGCAGCAGTTACGGTTACGCTTTCTTACGCCGATTTCTATTCCTAACAAGATCCGCACCCCCTTACTTCATAGGGCTGCCTGCTCCTTTGACACCCGCTCCTATTCCGGGATTGTGATGCCAATTGCTTGCTATTCTTATGTTTGTGGCCTATTCCTATTTCGTCTATATTATTCCGGTGCCTGCAGTGATTCCTAATACCAGCTGGCTTGCTTGTGAAGTGTGTGCTGAAGCTGCCGTCATGTATGATGTAACCTCGAAAGTAAACTATTTATTTTATACGTTGACAGCTCGAAATCCTGTCCCAGATTTATTATTTTATCCCAAATTTATTGTTGATGACGACCAAAGCTCTTAGAAACTTTCCTAACAAAAAATGTACAAATATAATAAAAATTAATTCTCCCCAGGGATTAAAATTGTGATTCTGATTCTTGGGTTTAGTGCAAACTAGAATTCGAACCCCATTGACTTGAATGATTAAACAGTTATTGATAAATAAAGTATAAACCATTATATATAATATTAATAGATTGAACTCCCCCCGTTGGCACAAATGTACTGCCCATGTAGAGATCAGGACCGAACTCCTCTCGGCCCGACCCGTTGATATAAGATATTGTGGCCCGTCTAAGAGGCCAGCTTCTCTCTCTCTCTCTCTCTCTCTGGTGTTCGCCGGGCCACTGTTCTCTCTGCTGGTTCCTCTATGGCGGCGCGGCTTGCAGTCTCCCTACTTGTTACTCTAACTCCAGCTGCGGATCTTCTTCATCACTGCTCATCTCCTTTCCCGTCAACTACAGCCCGCCCCCTTTCCTCATCACCAAAGGGCCGCAACCTTACTTCCTCTGTTCTGTGGCAGCGTGGCTGGCCTTCCTCCATCGTCCTCAAGTCGGGGCCCAGATGTTTGGACGCTAAATCTCAACTTCTCCTTGCGCCACCTGGTGTCGCCAGTCTAAGGAACAACGGTGTGAAAGCCCCCGGAAGACGAGTCGGTAAACAGAGGTCATAAGAAATTTCTTGTCAAGTTCGATCTGTCAAGCTCCGGAATCTGCTCTCGTCCTCGAAGGCTTCCGCGTCATTGCAATCAACCAGGTCACTACAAGTTACCTGCTGAATATTTATATGGACTTAATTCATCTGACGCCAAGAAAAAAATTGTTTTAAATTTTTATCCCCTGAATTCTCACTATTAAAGAAGTTCCGAAGGATGTCAAAATCTCAGATAAAAACTTTCCTGTGTGAAACGTAATGTGATTAATTTTCATACAAGCACGAATCCATTTTGTCCAAATCCTTCCGATCTCAGTTTTTTTTAATCGTGTGAAACATTTATCTGATTGACAAACTGAAATGGAGGCATGGCAACAAATGTAAAAAATAAGATACGAAGAAGACTGTCTGAAACAAGTAGCATGTGGGATTTATTCAATCCTAGAAGCATGTACGATCTATTCAGTCTTTAGGTTCATACATAGACTAAGCTGTCTTACGTTTTACACGCCTTAAATACCCTATCGTGCAGATGGGCTAATCCTTGCCATTGAATGGGGAGGAACCACAGCTAATGTATCTGTACTACTATCATTTGCGGAATCCCCGGATGATTCAGCTGCCAGACAGTCCTTCAATTGTATGACCACAGTGCTTATAGTTGGTCTCTCGCCAGAGTTTCGTGACGTGCATGACATTGCGATCTCTAATACCTTCCATATGGAATTAACATCATAGTAGCCCTGCATTCTTTGGTCTGCAATATCAGCTATATCTCCTCTTTCTAATCTGGACTGCACGTGCCGGGTTATGTGAGTTCTCTGGGAATCGTTACCGATTGGTGGTTTTCCCGTTACAAGTTCTAGTAGTACGATCCCAAAGCTATAAACATCAGTCTTCTCATTCAGCCTATTTGTTCTGAAATACCTGCACAGAATGAATTCGGAAAATTGAGTAAATTCTCAAGCTAAGACTATTCCTTTGCCTGTATGAACTATGAATGCATTCTTTAGGACATACTCAGGATCAAGGTAACCAGGAGTGCCTGCAACTAGAGTTGATATGTGAGTAGCCTCTTCATTGGTGAAAGCCCTGGACAGCCCAAAATCGGCTAGCTTGACTTCAAAGTTTTCGTTTAAGAGGATATTTGAAGGCTTGACGTCTCTGTGAACAATGGGTGGCTTGCAACCACAGTGCAAATAGTCAAGTCCTGGAGTTCAAAAAATATGACCATCATACATCATTAATAGAATAAGACGTAAGAAATAATAAGAGAAAGGAAGATCAATGATGTTTCAAGAATGAACCTTGTGCTGCTTCAAGTGCTATACGAAGTCGCCCTCTCCAACTTAAGGTATTATGATGGGCAGAGCCACCTGTGTGTAATTGATTGTTATATGAGGACTTGAAAGGCAAGGAAAATAATTGAAGGCTCACAGAGTAACATGGCATTTGCTCATATGTGAAGATAACCTGAGAGGTGATCTGCAAGGGAACCCCGAGGCATGAACTCGTAGACCAGTGCTAGGTTATCGTTACAATATCCTAACAATGTTACTAGATGTTTATGGTGCACTCTCCTCAACAGTTGAGCCTGAAATTCCAAGATACCCGTTATTTTAGGGCATAAAACAAGTCACGAATGAATAGATAATCACTAGGTCTTGCCTCAGTTGTAAGTAGAATGGAATTAAATACCACTGGGACCATTGGGATTTCTTTTTCAGTCACTATGACTCACCTCAGCTCTAAAGTGCTGCGTTCCCTGAGTTGATGATATAGAAAGTACTTTCACTGCAACTTGAGTTTCATCTTTAAACGGCCGTAGTAGACGATTCCAAAGCTTCCTCTTCCAATTGGTCGTTCAAAATTATTGGTGATATTTACAATATCAGATATTGAAAATTGGTCACTTTCAAAAAGCAGTCTATTTTCCTTCTCCACTAACTGGCAGCCACAATCCCTTCCTTGTTGCACCCTGTATATTTGTACTGCAATACAGGAAAATGTTAAAATAACATTAGGAGCGGCCTTCCAACAAGTGTTGATAGCAGACTTAATAATGTTATAAAAGTAACATAAGTTACAGATATGTACCTTCGGTACTCTTTTGGGCTTTGTCTACCCTTCTTCTTTTAAGTATACATCCTATGATGACGATCACAAAAACAAGCAGAACGAATGCCGAAATAGCTATTGCAAAGGGAATGATTATCTTTTTTTTCTTTGTTGTTGATTCACAGAGACTCACTGTGCTGCATAGAATTGGATTGTTGTTGATCCTAAAATTTTAAGATAATAGGTGTCAGAATTGGGTGAATACATCATCTATATCCGAATTTACTGATTATCCAGGATTTATAGAGCGTTCGGCACAAATTTAATCTAGGATCAAGTGCCCAACGAGGGACTGATCTTTTTTTTCTACTCAATGTGTGTGACACCTTCATGTTTGATGTTCTAATGCTAACCACACACCGGTTTTCTTTCAGGTATGAGAAAAACTCGGTGACTAATGTTTTACATGTTTTTAAGGACTACATTTCGGAATATAAAAATAAATCGGTCATGTCTCAGTCAATTTTTTGAAATGAAAGCGCAGAAACTTAGTTAGAGGAAGTAATCCTGTCAAGTGCTTCATATTAGCAATGTCTTAATTTATTCTATCATCTACTTAACACATTGTATCAAGGATTTTTCTCAACTATCTTTTCTGGGGCACGGTATATAAGAAACCTGGGGTTTGGAGCAACTCAACAGTGGGAATTAATCAACATTATGGATTCTTTTCATGCTTTATTTATTTTTCCCTCGTTGGCATAACTTTTTGTTTTAAATTACTTCTTCAGAAGCATATTATCCAATGACCATGGATGCACCGCTAACCTTAGTAGTAGCGATCCATCTCGTGATCTTTCTGAAAGAGTCCTTGGAATAGTCCCATTCAAATTATTGCTTTCCAAGTTCCTGCAAAAGGGGAATATTTAACCATCCGATACTCCCTGGATGAAGAACCAAATTGGAGAGTTCAAAGTTTCGAAACCTACAGGATTTTAAGAGCTTGTAGTTTCTCTACGTAAGCAGGTATTTCACCTGAAAAGTTGTTATATGATAGATCCCTGAAAGCAGTAGAAGAGCGTAGAGTGTAAAATTATCTACTTTCTTGCTTGGAATGCATTAGCTTTGAGAGCAACCTTTTATTCTCGTTACATCAGTAAGAGACACAATCTTCTATTTCCCGTGAAAAAAATATCAATAAATAGTTGCAGGTGATAAATTTTTCATTCAAAAACAGCCATGAAATTTCTTTAAATTGGCATTTTTTTATGCTTGACAGAATATTCGTCAAAAGAAGACGTGGAAAGCACATTCAAGAATTTTAAACGAACTTACAAGGATGTCAAGCTTGTGAGGTTGGCAATAAAAGGAGGAATTCCACCACCCAATCCGCTATGAGACAAGTTTCTGCAAGCAAAGATAATTTCATTCTTCGGTGCCATATAATTTCAAGCCTAGTTGCTTAGAAAAGAAATTTAGTTGACCATACTGTCAGAACTCACAACGAGGTTATCCCCCAGTAATTAGAGGCATTGGCGCTGCATTCCAGGCCTTCCCAGGTGAAGTTTTGTGGAACACACGGATCGCCATCCCAGTTCCTTTTAACTTTATACAAGTCCTTGAGCTTTGAAATGGCCTCCACTGTCATCCATGTGGGTGAGCAAGAGTAAGAATGCAGAACAGCTACAGTCTTGACAAAGATAATGCGTGAAGAATGATTTACGCCCATTACACACATTTTCATGTATGATCGATGAAAAGAAGAAAGTAATAATTCTGCATTTCAGTACTATACTGGGTTTCTCATCCCCTAGGTTATTCCTCTTGTGGGGTGATATCACGACCAGAGTGTATCAGAATTTATGATGAACCTCATGAATGAGACTTCGATCTATGGAAGCTTGAAGATAACTGTTTGTGTTAAAAATATTCCAGAGGGAAGAAGCCATAGGGTGTCACCTTCGTCCTCGTCGGTCGGCTTCAAGGTTAGCTCTCTCAGGGCGAACGTCTCGAGGGCGTTGATTATGGGGGGCAGAGTGGAGTTGGCCGTGGCCCGGAGGGAGTAGGTCAGTCCCCCCGGCTGGCCCGGCGGACGCGTGTAGATAACCAGCGCCTTCAGGAAGTTTGGTCTTACCGGGCCGTAGAACGGACTATCGCCCTGATATATTTTGAACTCCCTGGTCTCGTTGTCCCCCAGCTGCTGGAGCTCCGCGAAGTACATGACCAGGTGGGTGTGATCCTCTGGGCTCCCGGGAATGGTGATTTTTAAGCTCTCCGAGAGGGACGCCGCCGTCGCCGCCGTCTTCAGGACTGCCTGTGGCACAGGAAACCCATCCACCGGATCCACTATGGCGACAGTGCTTATATTTCTGCCTAGTGGCACGGGGTACCACCGGCGGTCGTAGGGGTCATCCGGGTACCTGTACGAGAGTTTTTTTAGAGAGAGGCAGATAGATAGTTCGAGATAGACGGCTAGAGAGAGAGAGAGAGAGAGAGAACGTGATCTGGGCTTCCCCTCCGTAGTTTCTTCGAACCCCGAGGAAGACGATAGACTGCGACGAGTCGACCTGAGTGTACATGGAATAGAGAAGTGGCCGCAGGTCGAGCTCGGATATGAAGGGCGTCCCCTTTCCCGTGTTCACCAGGCAGACCTGCATGCTCTCGGTGGCGGCGATGGCGATGATCTCCGACCGATTGAAGTCGCCGGCTTCCATGGTCATCCACAGGTTGACGCCGAGGTATAAGTCGAACGTCGGCGGTCGACCCAGACCGTCGTAGTTCCCGTACAAGAACTCCGCGTTCACCCGATACTTGGCGCCCCGCACCAGCGGCCGCAGCGTGTAGCAGTTTCGAGTCCCATCAGGAAAACTCCGGACGTTGGCATAGTAGCGCATGATGGACGTCAGATTGGTGCTAGGAGAGACCTTCCTGTTCACTCCGGCGCTGGTGTAGGGCTCGTCCGGCGAGTACAGGATCTGAGTAACCTGGTCTTTGTAGCCAGAGTCGTCGTCGAGGCCACAGTCTATGCTGATAAACCCTGCCACAGAGATTGAAGAAGAGTCTTGCAGTTCCGCTCACGAAAACGGCGGAGTGTGGCGAAGGTTGTGGTGTACCTGACGTAGAAGGGATCTGCGCGAAGGCCCCTACGGCCAAAAGGCCCAGCAGAAGCGCGAGAAGCAACATCGTCGCCATGATCGAAGCCGTTCGTCCTTCTTCCTGCTGGACGATACTACAGACGTCGTAGCGTCGGGTTCTTATAGATCTTAGCCTCCCCGGCGAGCAGCGGGGCACCGGTTGAACTACGATCATCTAGAGGGGCCAGTTGCACCTATCTCCATCCCTGACGTCCCGTGCTCCTCTCACGTTCCCGCGAACACGCAACTCTCCACGGTCATATGAAAAGGACTTCGGAAGGTCAAAACCCTTCCGGGGGCAATCGACCTACCCGAATGGTGACCAAGTCAAACCCTCAGGGGAGACGGGGTCTCCACCTGAGATGAGACTTGAATCCGAAAGCCACAGAATGCTACAAGAGCGAAGCGATAGAGTTGACTTTGGTACCTCCGCGATGGTTCCCGGCTTCGGCCATGAGGGGCAGCAGGGTTTCATAATTATTGACACACAAAAGTCAACTAATAATCGTGAAAACCAGCGTGCTCTACTTAATAGCTAATCGTCGATTCAACAAGCATGGGATCAAGAGGGGATAAATTTCCATTGTGGTAAATGTTTCATCTTCAAATGAGTCAAATTATTTATAGAGATGTAGAACTTGTCTCATTTTTCGACTTTCAATGGAGTTTTTCATACGATATTTTATAAGATCACCGCAGACCAAACTTCTGACATATTTCTCAATGCTTACACTAGGTTTTTAGTTCTTTTTATTTGATTAAATGTGATTAAAACTCAGTAATTTCGAACTCAGCGAAGGCTAGACAGACCGGCTCGGCCCGTTTTGGTTCAAGCCTAGGTAACCTTTCTTCCCCGCCTAATAGTGGACCGTGAATGCTTGGGTTATATCCCCTCCCCCCCATCCTCACTCGACGTCCTCATGGCGGCCTCACCTTGAATCTGAATTTTCAACTTTTGTATCACCGTTCCCCGAGACTAGTAAGAAAACAATGGTTGTGTCCGAATTCTAGCTCAACGCACATACAAGATTCATTTGCTCTTAGACAGTACTGGTTTACAGATATGTTGATCCAACTCTTCCTAGAATAATACAGATCTTACTCCTATAGTTAATGCACTATATTCTAGTTCAAATAATGTATTGAAATTTTGAAGAGTTAATTGTTTTCTTAAAAATAATAACACTGCGCCATGTAAGCTTTTACCTTTTCATACCTTTAACAGTTAAAGTAATAATCTAACTAAAATTTTATATAAATTTTCTGTAAAAAGAAGGTACATCGTAAAAATTATGAACCTTATATTCATTCTTTCAGATAGACCAATCCTTGATAGCTTGCACATTCCTTCATCAACTCTGATGTTATTTTCATTGATTATATAACTCAAGAAAACTAAACTTATGAATAATTCATTTTATTCTAAAACACAGTACATATCTTAAATAATTAACATGTTCTTCATCAATGGTATTATATATCAAAAGTCATCAAAATAGATAATGATATTTTTTTTCAATAGATGACCTCAATCTTTAGTTTGTCATCCTCATAAAAGCACTTGGTGTATTTGATAAGTGAAATGATATTACTAGCCATTAATAGAGCCCTCTTCAATATTATTCGTCACCTATTCAAATTTGATGATAACTAATTTTAAGATCAACGTTTGGAAAACTTCTTGAATCACACAACATATCTTGTACTTGAATCTTAGGAAAAAAAGGTATATTTGATAGTAATGTTACTAATAATTCTGTTGTCTATCCATAATCATCAATTTCTATCTTCTTTGGAGCTACTGATGCAAGAACTTAGCAATTACTCATACTTTTACAAATCATACCATTTGTAAAATATTTTTTCAACCTTTTCTCTTTAAATTCGATTTTTTCTTGACCCATTCTACAGTGAGATAAATTTGAAAAAATTTCTCACTTAATCAAGTTAATATGGTGCTATATATCTTTGAGTGGAGAAAGATGATTGAGTACCTTTGATGGTAGTAAATTCACTTGACAACTTCTGCGTAGCCTCAAATATAAAATTTGAATATTCAAATACAACATCCATCTTTGAAAAGTAAAAAAATTGTAATATTTCAACCAACTTGTTGAAGAGTTCTTTCTTATTAAGCATTATCACTTTTTATTTTCTTGCTCTAAAACATTATGGAAGTCACAACGTTTTATATAACATAAAATAAATTATGAATGTGCCCTCCCCAAATCAGGCCCGCGGAATGCTTAAAAACGTCAGGGGGAGGCCTCCATCTGAGAAGAGATCTTAATGCGAAAGCCGCAGAATGCTTAAGAATCGAAGCAATCAAGTTGACTTCGATGCCTACGCGCTGGATACTTGCTTGGGCCATGAGGGGCGGCAGGGGTTTCACAATGATCGATGCAAAAAAGTCAACCAATATTCGGAAATTGTCTCATTTTTCCGATTTCGTATGGTTTATTCGTACGGTATTCAATGTCAACATCTGTAAAATAAATATCGAAGTATCACCGCAGTATGTTTTTTAATGTCCACACTAGATTTTTAATAATTTTTTATTTGATTAAATGGGATTCAAAGTCAACGACTTGTAAAGTCAGCTAAGCCCGGCCAGATTATCCCCGCCCCTCTGGCAGCTAAGCCTGGCGAGACGGGGACCAGACGGGGCCCTCTGGTCCCCGCCTAATAGTGGGCTCCGAATGCTGGGTTTCAATCCTCCACCCTTCTTCCCCGCCGCCGCCCGTCTCCTCTTTCTCGCCATATGTGCATGTCCCTGTCGACCTTCCCTCCTCTCTCGACGTTCCCCATGGCGCCTCATCTTGAACCCTGAATTTCAACCTCTGCGTGCCGCCCCGTCGCTCCAGACTAAGCAAGAACATACAGCGAGTCGGTCCGCAAGTCGAGGACGAGCCGGAGAATGAGGGCGGAGGAAAACAATAGTCCTTTGCAGATCCCAGATCTACGGACAAGCGGGTTTCATTATGCTCTCTCGGGATTTCCTTCTTCCGGACGGGATCGAGGTTGTTTGATGGCTCACCATCGTAGCCTTCAGATGAATGCTTTAGCCAAGTGCTCCGATTGGATTTAGATTCCTAGAATTCTTCATCCATCCTCAAGCACCTCCTAGAAAAATCTCATGACCACGGCCACCTGAGAATATTATTTGTTCATTGACAAACCAGGATGAACACATAGAAAAAAGAAGACCGGAAACAACCTCTGAATGCTTACACAGAGCTTGGACATGCGGTGTTTTATTCAATCCATGAATGCATATGTGGAATTAGATCTCTTGACGCTTACACACGAGCGATATTATCTCGCAGATGGCCTGTCCATGGGCCCATATGAACTGGGAGTCTGTTCATTTCATTCGTATCGACATCGCTTGACTGGCCCGTGGATTCTTCAGTTGACATGCACTCCTTTAGTTGCACCACCACATCGCTCATTGTTGGTCTACTATTAGATTCCGGTGACGTACATGACATTGCAATCCCTACTGCTCTCCAAAATGAGTTGACATTATATTACCCTTTCATTCTTCGGTCTGCAATAATGGTTACATCCCCTCTTTCCAAGGTTGACTGCACCCGCTGGACAATGTGAGTTTTCTCTGCATTTGAGCCCACAGTGATTGGTTGTTCTCCTGTCAAAAGTTCTAGTAATACGATTCCGAAGCTGTAAAGGTCGCTTTTCTCATTCAACCTATATGTTTGGTAATACCTGCACATAAGGAAAGGAATCAAATAAATGAATTTGCCAAGCTCTCGGTGTTCCTCATAAACTGGCACATTTGAAGTAGAGATGGACTCGAGGTCGAGATATCCGGGGGTGCCAGCAACGGCAGTCGATGTATGAGTGAGGCCTTCGTTCGGAAAAGCTCTGGACAGCTCAAAATCGGATAATTTTGCTTCAAGGTTTTGATTCAAGAGGATGTTGGAAGTCTTGACATCTCTGTGAACTATGGATGGCTTGCAACCACTATGCAGATAATCAAGTCCTGTAATTCGAAATATCAGCAACATCCTTGATTATGATAATTAGGGATATTAAAAGACATAATCGTCAAAATCAATGAAATGGACATCATGGACAAGGGATTAATCATGTTTCATGGGATCACCTTGTGCAGCTTCAGTTGCTATTCTTAGTCTCTCTCTCCAACACAAGTTGTCAATACTGCCCTTGTCACCTACGTACGATGAAGTTTTAAAAGAGGATTCAAAAAATAATCAAAATAACTGAAGGATCCTACAAGAGCATGATATCTGGTTAGATGTGAATGGTATGTTGTGTTTGAGAACCTGAGAGGTGATCCGCAAGGGAACCTTTGGCTATGAACTCATAGACCAATGACAGGTTATCATAACAATATCCCAGCAATGATACTAGATTTTTATGGTGTACCCTTGTTAAGAGTTCAGCCTGAAATTTCATGTGAGCACTAGCATTAAAAATTACTCTTACAAGATAAAATAATAACTGAACAAGTAATTTAATAAAGTCACATAGAATCTTAATTCCAATTACTATGAGTTACCTCAGCTCTGAACTCCTTAGCTCCTTAAGCTGATGTTTCGGAGAGTACTTTAACAGCAACTTGATTTTCATCTTCTAAGTGGCCAAGGTAGACACTTCCAAAACCTCCTCTACCGATTTGTTTTTCAAAGTTATTTGTCATTCTTATGATGTCAGATAATGAGAATTGTTACTCTCATGATGCAAACTATTTTCTTCTCCATCTTTCTTTCCATACGAACCTATTGAAATGAACAAGACAATATCAAAAAGATACTATGAGCAACATCGCATCATTGTTTGATAAGCAAGTTTATCAAAGAAAAGAGTATCATACGTTATGGACATATACCTTGTGTTTTGCTTGGAGAGTCATTAGCCTTTCTCCTTTTCACTTTGCACACTATGATCAAGATTACAAAGGCTACTGCAAGGGCTGCTGATATAGCTATTGCAATCGGAACAATATTCTTTCTTTTCTGTTCTCTTGTCTCACATATATTCACTGTGCTGCACAGAATTGGATTGTTGTTGACGCTGAAAGTATGTCATGATAACAGTAGCATATTAGTGGAAGACACGATTAATACCCAAATGCCCTACCTATTATGTCCTACATGTATCCCAGCCGATCAACCCATGTTACTTAGCCGAGTTTAGTGTGTTTGCCCAAAATGAATACATAGTTCCTTTTTCCTAATCCATGGTGAAAGGTCTGTATTACTTTGAATGCTGGACGAAGCGTGCTTCTGTGGAATAAAGGAAGCTTGGATATAACATATATTGGTCCTCTAATTATTCGTTTCAGGTAAAGTTGATGAAACTAATGAGAAACATTTTTACAGATTCCATCCCATGAGGTCTTTTGTATTCAGCTTCTGGATTCATTTGTGTGATTGAGCCTAACAAGTCATGTCGAGATGCATCTTTCATTCGGTTTTTGGGTTCGTTTGTTGAGCATGCAGATCCAAATAAAACCACAGCATTGCAGGTATCATATGCAGTTCGACAGGGCCGCCTTCTTATTATTTCTTCACTGCACTAGCTCAGTCATAATTGTGACAGGCCGAGGAGTTAAATAGGTACCAGGGCCCTCTACTTTCTTCAGCCTTTACTGTACTAATTTACTTGTAAATGTTACCTGTCAAGCAGTTTACTCTGAACCGGGGACACGGGTATTTTTCCTCTCTTTCCCTTGTAATCCGAAATTTACTGAATGAAATGATCCACTGGGTTTGTGGTGAGCGCTGCTTGCGACAATCTAAAGACATTCCGAACGTTCTCTCCTCGGAGTTCTCTCCGGGCGGCACTTCCCTTTCCCCCTCTCTCCTCTCTTTTTCTCATTAAATGTCTTAAAACTATATACGTCTTGTTTTGTGGCATGGGGAACTCCAGGAAAAGCTAGGTAGGCTAAAAGTAGATGAATTTTTTTATAAGACTTGGATTATAGACGAGAAACTAACCTCAATGAAATGGATCCATTCTGTGATTTTTCATAAAGAATTGGGGGAAGGGGTCCTGTCAAATTGTTGCTAGCCAAGTTCCTGCATCGCAAGGATATCTGACCATCTGTTTCTCCTTTATACGCAATGAAATGTAACAGTTGTAACCTTTCAGAACTTACAGGAAGCTGAGAGCAGGTAGCTTCTCTAGATTCGCAGGTATTCCCCTGTAAAGTTGTGCGATAGATCCCTGAAAGCAACAGACCGGTTATAACGAATCTAATCTTAACGCTAATGGAAAACTATCCCTTCATAATTTCATCCAGATTCTTAACTTGTTTATGCAAAATCATGAAGGAATCATAAATAGTAGGTCATTAGAAAACCGGAGCCCAAACATCAATTCTTGCATGGGCTTATCCCCTAGTTTAACCTGTATACATTTATCCCTTGTTCCTTGCATTACTCGTCCTTTAGAACGATTCCTCTGCCAGTTCTTTCCTACGTATCTAGGGGAAGAAGGATTGGCAAGCTAAATCATTCTCTCGAAAGATGGGAGTAAAGAATGAATGGTAGCGTGTGAATCCAATGATCCCAGTTTATTATATTCTCATTACTTTGGGTTCCTGTGTGTATTACCACTATTTGTAACTATCTCATTTGACCTGGGTTTAGAAAGCTGTTAATGGGTCCTCAGATCTTGAAGCATGGTCCTTGCCTCCGAAGAGTTGTGACGTTTCCTTGTAAATCAAGCACAGATTTTCCACGGAGAGTTGAAAGTTGGTCCTGTACGATTTAGGAAGAGGCTTACAATGACTGCAGCGCTGTGAGGTTGGATATCAAAGGAGGAATCCCTCCGCTCAATCCGCTGTGAGACAAGTTTCTGAAAATCAGACAAATCTCAGTCTTTGAGCTCATATAATCCCAGACACGGTGGATCAGAATAATTCGTAAATGGCCATATTTTAGTAGAACTCACAGAGAGATAATCCTCGAATAATTAGTGGCGTTGATGCTGCATTCCAGGCCTTCCCAGGTGAAGTTCTTTGGAACACATGGATCGCCCACCCAATTCCTCCACTCGAAACCATTTTCTGATATCTGAGATGGCCTCAGCTGAGATTTCAGCCAATCAGGAGCACCACGAACCAGAATATACACGCGCAGAGAGCCATTAGGTCCTTTATTAGGATGAGCCCATAAAAACATAGCGAGAGAGAGAGAGAGAGAGAGAGGAACCATTTAAAACGGTTGTTGGGTACGTGTCCAACAAATAAAAATTGAAGGACGTTAACTCACCGTCGCGGTCGTCGGTGGGTTGCAAGCTCAGTCGCTTCAGTGCGTAAATCTGGATGGCGTTGAAGATGGGGGGCAGAGTGGAGTTGGCGGTGGCCAAAATTGAGTAGGGGACCGAAGCCGCGCCACCCGGAGGGATGGTGAACGACATCTCCCCCGCCCTGAGGTACTCCGGCCGGTAGGGGCCGGCGGCCAAAACGTCATCGATGTAGACGTTGAACTCCCTCGTCTCGTTGGCTGCGGGCTGCTGGAGCTCGGCGAAGTGCAGGACCACGAGGGTCTCTTCCTGGGGAAGCCTATTGACGCTGAAGTTTATGCCATCGGTGAGGGACGCCGCCGTCACCGCGGTCCTCAGCACGGCCGACGGCACAAGAAACTCGTCGCCGGCCGCCGTCTTTACCTCCAGAGCACTCCTTATCGGTTTCCATGCCGTCCGGTCATTGCCGGGGAACCAGTTTCGATCGTAGCGGTCGTCCGGGTACCTGCGCCAGGGTCATCGTTGAGAGAGAGAGAGAGAGAGACCGGATGATGCTTCCCCATCCGTAGTTCTCCCGGTTTCCCAGCAGGAGAAGCGACTGCGACTGGTTCGCCATGGGGTACATGGAATAGAGGAGGGGCCGGAGCTCCAGCATCGACACGAAGGGCGTCCCGCCGCCGGTATCCACCAAACAGACCTGTATACTCTCGGCGGCGCGACGGCAATGATTTCCAGACGGTTGAACTGCCCGACCACGACGGTGCTAGCGAGATTAACGCCCACGTAGACGTCGAAGGTCGGGGCCGATCCAGGCCGTCGTAGTTCCCGTACAGGAAGTCGGCCCTTACTAGGTACTTACCGCCGCTCTCGACGGGCCTCAGCGCGTAGCAGTTCCGAACCCCGTCGGGGAAACTCCAGAGGTCGGCGTAGTACGTCCCTATGCCGGAGAGATTTGTGGCCGGAGAGACCCTTCTGTTCACTCCGGTGTCTATGTAGGCCTCGTCCGGCGAGTACGAGATCTTAGTCAGCGCTATTAACGCATAAGGTTTTCAACAACAACGCGTGCCTCATAGGCACTATAACCGTCGCCCCAGCCAATCAAACATCGCCAACAATCAGGAAAGATTTAAACTCTCCAACGGCTAAAACTACGGTGGAGACGACGTCACGGGACCCCATCCAAGGGATCTATTTTGATCCTATATAAACCGCTTGTATTCATCTATTTTACAAGAAAGAGGAAGATTTGCTTTCTCTTGTTTCTCTCTTCCTCTCTCTCTCTCTCTCTCTCTCTCTTCCTCTGTTCTTCCCGCTCTTCCAGTTCCTTCTTAAACAGGAACGCTCTATCTCTTTCATGGTATCAGAGCCTACAGGCGCTCAAGTGTGGATCTAATGGCATCTTCCTCCTCTTCTCAAATCGTGTCCACCATCACCATCGCATCGCGCCTTCGATTATCATGGCTGTGCCAACCAGTCTGGTGGTTCCTGTCGGATTGACTAGAGAAAATTTCTCGGTACGGAAGAACACGATCGTCCCTCTTCTTAACGGCTACGATCTTCAAAAATACATCGATCAAGACCCGCCGGCTGCCACGATCGATGATCAACCGAATCCTGCCTATCAAGCCTGGTGGCGCAACGAACAGCAGGTGCTCGGCTTTATTAACTCCTCTCTCTCCGAAATAATTCTATCTAAACTAGGTCAAAAAACGACCACCAAGGAGCTCTGGACGGCCATTCAGAAAACCTACTCCTCGTCCGATCGCTCCCGCATCATGGATCTTCAACGGCACCTCCACAACTTCGTCAAAGGCGATTCCTGCATCGAAGAATACATTCAAAGATTCAAACGGCTTGCCGAGGAGCTTGCTCTAGCTGGTAAACTTGTTGAAGAAATATCTCAGATTTGTGTTTTTTTAAGAGGCCTCGGTCCCAAATATAGCACTTTTGATATTAGCATTAACGCTAATCTCAATCATCTTACCTTCGAGGATATCATCTCTAGTCTTCGATCCCATGAAGCCACAATAGCTCATCACCAACAGATGGCTCCTTCGACACTCTCATCTACCGTGGCACCTTCAGCAAATCTTGCCCAAACTAATCAGACCGATAAATCTTCTGGTCATCTGCAAAATTGGTCTCAATCCAACCGTGGATCCGGCAATAATCGTGGAAGACGAGGATGGGGGAACCAGAATTGGCAGCCACGCTGTCAACTCTGTTCTCAATTTGGCCATCAGGTGTTTCAATGTAGGGAACGGTTCAACCCTGCCTTTCAACCGCAATCTGAACACGCCTACAACCTACCTGTCCTGAATCTTCCACATATCACTCAGCCGCAAGCTTACTTGACGACTCATCATAATCCACAACCGGCACCGGTCAACTGGTATCCCGATAGTGTTGCTACTCACCACATCACACCTAATCAAGGGGTCCTCCACTCCTATACTCCCTATCAAGTCCCCGATCAGCTGCAGATAAGTAATGGCTCAAGTATGGCTATTTCTTCTACTGGCACCGCTATAATTAAAACCCATTCTTTTCCCTTAAAATTAAATAATATATTGTATGTCCCTCACATTCAAAAACATCTACTTTTTGTTAAACAATTTACCGATGATAATGATGTTTTCATTGAATTTCATGCTACCTACTATCTTGTGAAGGATGAGAAAACCCACAAAATCCTCCTCAAGGGAACAACTGAAGATGAACTTTATCTTCTTCAACTGCATGGTCAACCTTCAGTGTTCTTGGGGGCCAAGACAGACCTTGCTACATGGCACAATCGATTGAGACATCCCCAATTTCAGATATTGATAAGTTTTCATTATCATGAGTTAATGATTAGTAAATAATATAGTTTTAGCCTTAACTCATGATAAATAGACTTCTATTTATGTTAAAGTGTGAAAAGTGATTTTCAGTTGATTAATGTGAATTTTTAGGTAATTATGTGATTTTACATGAATTTATATGATTTTTATAATCTTGCTTTTGAGATAAATAAGGAAAAAGAAATAAAAAATAAAAATAAGACAAAATGAGGGGGACCTGCTGGCCAGCTGGGCCCGCAAACGGGTCAGAAGCTCAGTCGGGAGCAGCCGCGAGCAAGAGCTCGAGCGGCTTGAACCGATGGAGGCACGTGTGTGCCACTCCCCTTCCATGTCACCGGTGGCCAGCTAGCTGTGAGGCAAGGAGTGGTCATGCATGCGTGCTTGATCGGGAATGTAACGTTACTATATATTCGCCCAAAAAATCGGTGCACAACTGATGTGGGACTAAACTTGCGTCACACCTTCCTCAAAAGGGGCGGACAACCGACGCGGGTTTGAGTACTTCTAGAGTAAAAAGTCATATATTTTTATCTGATTATTGCGACTTTCCTGCAGATTGCTAGTGAAAGATTAAGCAACGAGAATCGCTGGATCACCGGCGAAAATCTCGTCAACGCGATTTGTGGAGCATTGCTACTAAAATTGCTGAACAATTTGTGATAAAAGGATCACGAATCTATCGAGTAAATCATCTCCGATTGATCGACGAACAAGCCGTCGTCAGGAAGAGGACGATCAACCAGGAGACGAGTCGCCACCTCCTGTGAGCGTACTAGATGCGATGAAGAGCCTCCTCTTACTGCGCGGACCTGAGGATGAAGCTCCTTGACACGCGCCCCACCTCCATCTAGCTCCTCTCTATCGGGTGACAGCTGCCAGAGAGCTGCAAAGTTGCCATTTTTCCGCTCCGCTGGGTGACAGCCGCCAGAGACGATTCGACGACCCATTTCATTAATCTCTAGACTTCACGATAAGATCTAAAGATTGCCCATGTCATCCTTGTCCAAGGAGAGCCTTCGAGGCCGTGGACACTGCACGACGATCCTCTCAAACACTCAGAATTTCAATGTATTGCCAACGCATCGCCGCCGCGACGCCGGAACTCTGTTTTCCTACCTTCAACTTAATTTCCGTTTCATTTAGTGATAATTTGTTGATTTTAAATTTACCAACATATACTTCATTTCATTACAATTCTTCTGTCTTTTACAGATCTTAATTTGATCAATTAAATCATCTGTAATCGCTTACGTAAGAATCGTCGGGTGGAACTCTATTTCCGCTCGATTCGCATTCATCGGGCACTAACGTCATCCTGACGCCCGCACCGTTATTTTCTTTTTTCGTGAATTTTAAATATATTTCCTTTTCATTTCTTAGTATAAAATTCATATAAAATAGTATTCTCTGAGGAAAATTTTGAATAATTACCAGATATTATATTACATCCTTGTGATCGATTTGAAAAATTACCGCTATTTTTGAAAGTTTTATTGAATTATAATTGATATATTTGTTCAGAAATACTTCTAAATATCTGAAAATTTGTATTTTCTAATTTTATAAATTTAATATTTGTGTGATTTAATAGACAACGACTAAGTCACGTCAGATATTAAATAAGATCATTACTCAACATGGGCTGCCCTTATTTTGCATACCCAAAAGTAATTTCGAATTTTGTCATGCTTGTAATGTTTCGAAATCACATAAACTTCCTTTTTAGAACTCTTCTCATATTTCTATTACACCACTTGAATCAATACATTCCAATCTATGGGGTCCTTCACCCATTACTTCTCTTTTTCATTTCTCTTATTATGTAATTTTTATTGATGATTATAGCAAATTCATGTGGCTTTATCATCTCAAAAATAAAAGTGATGTGTTTCAAATCTTTATCAAATTTCAAGCAAAGGTACAACGACTTTTTTCTAGTAAAATCCTTCCGTTTCAATCAGATTGGGTGGTGAGTTTCAGGTGGACCAAGCATTTTTAGGATTGAGGCATTCATCATCGTATCTCTTGTCCTCATACACCCCAACAAAATGGGACTGCCGAATGCAAACATAGACACCTTATAGAGACAGCCTTATCTCTTCTCAAACAAGCCTCTATGTCCCAAGAATATTGAGATGAAGTTGTGTGTACAGCTACCTATCTTATTAATCAAATGCCTACCCCCATTCTAAAATTTAAGAGTCCTTTTGAAGTTCTTTACAAAGTTATACCTGACTATCAAACACTCAAAACCTTCAGATGCCTCTATTATCTGTACACTAGATCTTATGCATAACATAAATTAGAAGATAGCTCCGAATCTCATTTATTTTTAGGATATATAGCTCACTTCACCACAATTATAGATGTAAGTCTCTTGCTTCCAGAAAATTTTATACATCTCATCATGTACTATTCTATGAGTCCATATTCCCTCACTTCACACCACATCTAGTCAAATCCAACTCCTCCATTGCAGATAGGGGAATCCTAGGTTTCCATCCTAATTATGTATCAATTCCTATCCTTCCCTCCTCACCCCCCACTTCTACCCCTTCTTCAACTTTCTCCCCTTCACACCAAATAACAATCATAACCACTTCCTTGTCCTCCACTGAAATTACTCTCATTTCCAATTCTCTTGCTCACTTGTTAACTAACTCAACCTCTCACCCACCTGATAGTGACAATTCAGATCCAACATCTTCTTCCTCAACTCCATCAGCCAAATTTAGGCATATCAGTCATCTCTATAGGGATACCACAGCAGTCCCTCTAACTTCCTCTTATTTAACAACCTTGTCAACTAAATATTCGTTACCCCAATGCTACCATCTTACTCTCTCTCATAAGGAACCCAAAAATTTCTCCACTACCTCCAAACATCCCTTATGGAGACAAGCTATGCAATCAGAGTTTGAGGCTCTCCAAAAAAATCAAACTTGGACCTTAATCCCATGGCCTCCTAACACACATATAATTGGGTGTTAATGGGTCTACTAGTTAAAACTTAAATCTGATGAGTCCATAGACTAGTATAAAGCCTAATTAGTGGCAAAAGATTTTTTTCAACAAGAAGGGTTCGATTATTTCAATACTTTCTCACCTATCATCAAAATTACAACTATAAGGCTCCTTCTATCCACAGTTATTAGTCAACAATGGCACATCCATTAATTGGATGTGTCCAACACCTTCCTTCATGGAGATCTCACTAAGAGTATCATCATGGAGCAACTAGAGGGATACAAGAACTCCAATTTCCCTAATCACATTTGCAAACTTCATAAATTTATCTATAGATTAAAACAATCCCTTAGAGCATGGTTTTCCAAATTATCCTCTTATCTCTCTCAGTTTTATCAGATCCAAAATAGATACCTCCTTATTTTTTTTCATAAATGAACCATTGTTTATTCTAATTTATGTTGATGATCTACTAATCATTGAATCAAATTTTCATTTTATTAATTTTCTTATTTCATCACTGAATATAAAATTTACCATTAAGGATCTAATGCATGCTCACTTTTTCCTTGGAATAGAATTACTTCATGTTTTCACAGGTTATCTTCTCTCGTAATCTAAATATCTAGCTACAATCCTTCAATGGGCACACCTGGATCAGTGCAAGTCAATGTCAACTCCATGGTCAACCTTCATAACTGACTTTCCCAACAACACTTTACTTCCTGATCCTAAGACTTATAGAAGCATCCTCAGTGGTCTACACTACCTCACAATAACACGTCCAGACATATCCTATTATGTGAATTGGGCATATCAAAAAATGCACAACCCCTCTCATGAAGATTGGCAAACCCTCAAGCATCTTCTTCACTATCTAAAGGGCTCAATTACTTTGAACCTTCATCTCTCTCATAACTCTCTTCTTCAGCTCACAGCCTACAGTGACGCAGATTGGGCCTCTTCTAAGAATGATCGCCGATCCACTAGTGGTTATCTTGTTTATCTTGGAAGAAACTTGATCTCCTGGTCGTCGAAGAAACATTTTATCGTCTCAAGATCAAGTACAGAGGCTGAGTATAAAGTTCCAGCAAACACGGCTGCTGAGTTTATCTGGCTAAATTCCCTTCTTAATGAAATTCAGATCAATCCACAAGGCACTCCAATTCTCTACTGCGACAATCTAGGAGCTACATATCTATCTGTTAATCCCGTCTTCCACGCTAGAACAAAACACATTGAGATCAATTTTCACTTCATTTGTGAAAGGGTCACCGCCAAACAATTGCAAATCAGATTTCTTCCCAGCACTCATCAGCTCGTTGACATCCTAACAAAGCCTCTCCTCAAAAGTCGTTTTCAATGACTAAGAAACAAGCTAAATCTCGTTCCGAGCGTTAGCTTGCGGGGAACTGTTAATGCATAAGGTTTTCAACAACAACGCATGCCTCATAGACACCATAATCATTGCCCCAGCCAATCCAACGGCTAAAACTACGGTGGAGACGACGTCACGGGACCCCATCCAACAGATCTATTTTGATCCTATATAATTCGCTTGTATTCATCGATTTTATAAGAAAGAGGAAGATTTGCTTTCTCTTGTTTCTCTCTTCCTCTCTCTCTCTCTCTTCCTCTGTTCTTCCCGCTCTTCCAGTTCCTTCCTAAACAGGAACGCTCCATCTCTTTCAAGCACTTCTGTGTAATTAGAGTCGCCGCCGAGGCCGCAATCGATGCTGTTGAACCCTGCATTGGGGAAACCATAACCTTCCGTCATTCCCGTTCCACCTGGAGAGGCAGTGGCAGGGAGAAAGAGTATGCGCGTACCAATCTGGGTCGGGCTCTGTGCGGAGGCCGCCATCGCCAGGACGCCCAGCAGCAGAACGCGCCACCCTGTTGCCGCCATCGTCAGCGTTCTCTCCAACCCCCATTCTGTGGGCTCTGCCGGAGCTGGCACAAATCGTAGATTTCCCCTTCCCTCTGCCAAGTGGACGACGGCAGTCGCCCAACTCTATACTTTCAGCGCAGCCGTTCACAGCTTTATACTTCCCTCTGACAAATGTATTATTGTGTACGTCACATTCAATCTGGGCAAATGCATTTAAGTCGTCTGTTCCTAGCGCCCGAGAGGCAGCTCTAGTGAAAAGGACTACACCCCTCACAAGAAAGCTGCTCAACGGAATTACACAAGGCCGTTGAGCATATGGCTGTTGGTACATAACAAAATTAACTAACAACCCTAAAAGAACTCTATATAAACACTCATCTTACATCACTGTAACATTTTTAAGCTTTCTACATCAATAATAGAATCATATCTTTTACTCTTGTTCTCTTCTATTCTTATTTTCTTCTTCTTCTTGCACGTCTTGTTTCTTCACATGGTATTGGAGCAACAAAGTGCTCATTAATCTATGCTTTCGGAATACATGACAGCTGAAACAAGAATGGCTTCCTCCTCTTCTTCTATGCGAAATGCAACATCATCAGTAATGCCGCCCATTGCAAAGCCATCTGCTGTAATGCCTCTATTATCAGTAAATTTCTCAAATGAGAATTATCTTTTATGGAAAATAAAATTTGTCACCCTTCTCAAAAGCCAAGGGCATCTTCATATCATTGATGGCTCAACTAAGCCACCATCTCCTACCATCAAGAATGGAAATATAGATCTTGAGAGTAATCCAGACTTCATTAAATGAGAATGCCATGATCAGTCTATTTTCCTTGATCCTATCTTCCATCAAAGAAATCATTTATTTAATTAATATCAGATATCATACATCAAAAGATACTTGGGATGTATGAGCTAATAAGTTCACATCTAAAACAAGATCCCACATCCTTCAATTACATATATAGTTATATGATGATAAAATTTTATTATCGTGAGTTAATAATTAATTAGTAATATATTATATATATTAACTCATAAGAAATACATTTATATTTATGTTAAATTATGAAAAATAATTTTTAGCTAGTTAATGTGAACTTTTAGTTAATTATGTAATTTTTATAATCATATATTTTGAATTAAATAAAGATAAATAAATAAAATAAAAATATAGAAAAAGATGAAGACTCGTCAACTAGTCAGGCACGCAAATGGGTCAAAAGCATAGTCAAGCGAAATTGCAAGAAGGACCTCAAATAGTACTAGGAGGGCATGTGTGTGTCACTTTCCTTCTATATCGCTAGTGGTCAAACATTTGAAAATAGTCAATCTGGTATTAAATCTAGGCCACTGTTTGTCATCACCTATTTTTAATATTTATATATTATAATACCCCTAAATGATAAAAAGTAGATACCATTATGATGTCACTAGAAAATGGTATTCACATACTTATGTCATTCTCTCTCATATAGGTGAGGAAATGGGAAGTATATTTACATATTTTTATCTAATTAAATCATAATTTTTATGTAGAGTGCAAGTCAATGATTAAATCACTAAAATCACTCAATCATTAGTGAAAATACTGTCAACGTGATTCGTGAAGTATCGTTACTAACTGTCGAATAATTATATATAAAAAGCTCACAAATGTATTAAGTAAATTATCTCTAATTGATAAATAAACAAGCCGTTGTTGGGAAGAGGACGATCCACTAGGAGATTAGTCGTCACCTCTTGAAAGCATAACAAATATGATGAAGAGCCTCTTCTTACTACGTAGACTCAAGAATGTGATAGTTAGCAAAGACTATTTGTCAACCTAACTCACTGATTTCTTGACTTCATAACAAGATCTAAAAATTATTTAAGTTGTCTGTGTAAAGAGAGCCTTTGAGGCCTTGACATCTCACAATAATCTTCCAAACATACAAATTTTTGACGATTGTTGCTGTGAAGTTGTGATTGTCTTTCATATTTTAAATTTAATTTTACTTAATTTAGTGATAATTTATGTGATTTCAAATTTTAAATTTTTTCTTCATTTAATTATTATTTTTTTGGCTTTTATAGATCTTAATTTGATCAATTAAATTATTTGTAATCATTATGTAAGAATCGTGGGTGAAAATCTATTTCTATATTAATCGTGTTCATTGGGGTGCTGATGTCATCTTGACGTATGCACCCAAATATTTTTTTCGTAAATTTTTAAATATATTTAATATTCATCATTTAATATAAAACTCATACAAAATCATATTCTTTGAGAAAAATTTAAAATATTACTATATATTATCTTACATCTCTTTGATTGATTTCAAAATTTTCTACTATTTTTATTTTTTTATTGAATTATAATTGATTATTTATTCTACAATATTTCTAAAAATCAAAAAATTACTATTTTCTAATTTAATAAATTTAAATTTACATGATTTATTATACAATGATTATGTCACGTCAAATTTTGACACTATTGTCAAAGATGTATTACATAATATTTGGTAGTTTTTTATTTTTCTCTTAGAGTATAAAAAAATAATTTAATTCTTTTTTTGTAAAAAAAAAGAAAAAAAGAACAAAGAGTAGCAAGGCAAGGATTAGATTAGCCTAAAGGAAGGTAACATTTATTAAAAACATTCTTTGAATTTATATCTTTTTATGTATGGTGTATGATGTTTACATCTAGGGTTAGAGAATCCTTCCACTATTTTGTCGAAAACTAAAAATTCGAAAGAAAGATCAATTTTGATAGATCTTGAGGGTAATACAAGTCAAACTGAGAATAATTCCATAGTCATGAAAAATTATTATATCCTTGATTCATATCAACAACCATCTAATATTAGAGTCCCATTAGCACCCACAATTAAATTCAAAATAAATTCAGAAAATTTTCAAATGCTCCCTAATTTCATGAATTACCTTTAGAGAAATCTCATTGGTATTTAAAAAAAATCATATAAACTGTGATTTAGTTAATCTCTCTCAAGTTATATTAAAAATTATTAAGATAAAATTATTTCTATATACACTTAGAAATAAGGGTAGTTATTGATATCTATATTAGATAAAGAATTAACTAATTGTAAAGACATAATAGATATTTCTTCAAAAAAAATATCTCTTAGGAAAAACTCAAAACATGAGAAAATATATATGAAGTTTTGCTCAAAGGCCAAGAGAAACTTTACATGAGGAATGAAAAAATTCAAAGATTTATTAAGAAAGTGACTTCATCATGCTATACTCAAGTGGCAGCTTAATATATTTTTTTCTGATGAATTATTAAAATAATATAAAAATATGATTGATTCTATATGTAGATGAACTTTTATGGAGAAAATCCATGATGAAATTTATAGTATTTATTAGAATGTAAGTGAAAATTTTAAAGATTAAGCTTCTTTTGAGTTATATGACAAGTATAAGAAGAGAAGAATTTATGAATTGTATTATCAAAGATTATTCTAATTTAAGAAAAGAGGTAAATCATATTAATCAAAGATTAGAAAAACTTTATTTACTTGTTGATAATATCAGAAAGACTCCTAAACCTTAATTTAATTTAAAAAATAGCTGTCCTATGTGTGTTGAAAATAATCAATCTGAATTTTAATGTCCCATGTTAGATCAATCATTTAAACTTAGGCAAGAGGAAATATAAGTAGCCCACAGTTTTAATAAAAATAGATAATCTTTTTCTAATTTTTATAATCATAATTGGAGGAATAATTCTTGACAACGTGTCTGACCTTCCCCCACCGTCCTCAAATTGGCCCCCACAAGCGTGGACCCTAAATTTTGACTTGCTCGTTACGCCACTTCAAGCCACTAGTCCTAGGAACAATGGTGTGAAAGCCCAGAAGATGGTGGCAGGTCAGTGACCAAAGGCCAGGAAGAAAATTTGGTGTCTGCGTCTAAAGGCAGTGCACCTCTACCAGTCTTCTGGCTTGAGGAATTTCTTGTCCAGGCCTCGATCATTGCTAATAACCATGTCACATAACAAGTTACCTGTTTTATCTTAATATGGATCTGATTCATCTAATGCGTAATTCCTCCTGAAGCGAATAAATTTTCAGATTTTATCTGCTAGATTTTTGGTATTAAAGATGTTCCAAAGGATGTCAACATCGTAGGCAAAAACTTTCTTATGTGAAACGTTGTGCCTAATTTTCATAGAAGTATGCTTACATCTTGTGTGAATCCTTCCAATCTCAGTTCTTCTTATCGTGTAAAAAATTTCTCTTATTAACAGACCATAATGGATGCATGGTCAGAAATGTAGAAAATAACATACGACGAAGGCTATCTGAAACAAACATCATGCTGGATTTATTCAATCTTAGAAGCATGCAAGATTGGATACATGGAATAAGTTTTCTTAGTTTTTACATGCCTCAAAGACCCTATCGTGCGGATGGGCTAATCCTTGCCATTGAATGGGGAGGAATGATAGCCAATGTATCTGTGGCAATATCAATTGGGAAGTCCCCGGATGATTTAACTGTCAGACAGTCCTTCAATTGCACAACCACAGTGCTCATAGTTGGTCTCTCGCTAGAGTTTGGTGATGTGCAGGACAGTGCAATCTCTATTACCTTCCATATAGAATTAACATCATAGTCGCCCTGCATTCTTTGGTCTGTAATATCAGCTATATCTCCTCTTTCCAATCTGGACTGCACGTGCTGGGTTATGTGAGTTCTCTTGGAATCATTAACAATTGGTGGTTTTCCCGTTACAAGTTCTAGTAGTACGATCCCAAAGCTGTAAACATCACTCTTCTCAGTCAACCTAGTTGTTTTGTAGTACCTGCACAAAAGGAATACGAAAACTTCAGGAAATTCTTGGGCTGAAGCTCTTGCTTTGCCTCTATGAACGAATGAGGGACTTTCTATGACATACTCAGGATCAAGGTATCCAGGGCTTCCTGCAACTACAGTTGATATGTGAGTAGCCTCTTCATCTGTGAAAGACCTGGACAACCCAAAATCTGCTAGTTTGACTTCAAAGTTTTCGTTTAAGAGGATATTTGAAGGTTTGACGTCTCTGTGAACAATGGGTGGCTTGCAACCATAGTGCAAATAGTCGAGTCCTGGAATTTAAAATATGATCGTCATATATCATTACAAGAGCAAAACAAAAGAAATAATAAGAGAAAGAAAGAAAGAAAGATCAATGATGTATCAAGAATGGACCTTGTGCGGCTTCAAGTGCTATACGGAGTCGTAATCTCCAACTTAAGGTAGTTTTATTGGCTGAGTCACCTGTGTGTAATTAACTGTTATATGAGGATTTGAAAGGGAAACAGACTAATTGAAGGTTCAGTGAGAAACATGGCATTTGCCCATATGTGAAAGTGTTTTATGTAAGAGAACCTGAGAGGTGATCTGCAAGGGAACCCTGAGGCATGAACTCATAGACCAGTGCTAGGTTATCGTTACAATACCCTAACAATGATACTAGATGTTTATGATGCACTCTCCTCAACAGTTGAGCCTGAAATTCAAAGATACCCGTTAATTTAAGGCATAAAACGACTCACGAATAAATTATCACTGGGCCTTGCCTCAATTCTAGTAGAATAAAATTAACTTCTATTGGAATTCTAGTTTCAGTCACTATGGCTTACCTCAGCTCTAAACTCCTTCGCTCCCTGACTTGATGATTTAGAAACTACTTTCACTGCTACCTGAGTTTCATCTTTTAAGCGGCCATGGTAGACGGTTCCGAAACCTCCTCTTCCAATTGGTCGCTCAAAATTATTTGTAATCCTGACAACATCAGATACTGAAAATTGGCCACTTTCAGAAAGGAGTCTCTTTCCCTTCCCAACTGACTGGCGGTTACCATCCGCTGCTTGTTGCTCCATGTATAATTCTGCTGCAACAAAAAATAACGTTCAATAACAGTATGAGTGCCCCTCTAACAAGTGTTGATGCAGGAGTCGACGAAGCTGAAAAGTGAAATAAGTTATAGATACATACCTTGTGTATTTTTTTGGGTTCTGCCTACCCTTCTTTTCTGAATACATACTATGGAGACGACCAGAAGAAGTACCAGAAAGGATGCCGAAACAGTTACTGCAATGGGAATGATAATCGGTTTCTTCTTTTTCGTTGCATTACAGAGATCCACTGTGCTGCATAGAATCGGATTGTTGTTGATCCTAAGAATTTAACATAATAGGTGTCAGAATGGTTGAAGATATCAGTCGTACCCAAATTAAGTGTCTATTCGGGCTTTACGGAACCTTTTACACAAATTTGACCTACGATCAAGTGTGCAGTGAGGAACTATTATTTTTTCTTCTGCCTGATGCATTCAACGCAGTCATGTTCCATGTTCTGTTGCTGACCAGGCACCGATTTTCTTTCGGTTACGTAGAAAACTCGGTAATTAATGTTCTACATGTTTTAAGGACTATATCTCGGTAAATTAAAATAGTTTGGATGGTGCACGGTCCTGTCTAAATTAATTGTTTGAGGTGAACAATCTTGGCAAGTGCTTCTGTACCAGGAATGTCTGAATTGATTCTATTAGTCTACTTGAGACGTAGTGTCAAGGATTTTTCTCAACTGTCATTTCTGGGATCTGGTGGATAAGAAAATTTTAGATTGGAGCAGCTCATCAGGGAAATAATCAAGCTTTATGGATAATTTTTCATGTTTTATATACTTTTCCCTTTGTTTGCATAACTTTTTGTCTGAAATTACTTATACAGATGGATATTAACCAATGATTATGGAGGCAAAACTGACCTTAATAGTAGTGATCCATCCTGTGATCTTTTGTAGAGAGTTTTCGAAATATTCCCACTCAAATTATTACTCTCCAAGTTCCTGCAAACAGTGAATATTTAACCATCAGATACTCCCTGGATGCAGAACAAAACTGGAGAGTTCAAAGTTTCAAAGCTTACAGGATTTTGAGCGCTGATAGATTCTCTATGTAAGCAGGAATTTCACCCGTAAAGTTGTTATATGATAGATCCCTGAAAGGAATAGACGAGTGTAAAATGTAAAATTATCTTCCTTCTTCTTGGAATTATTAGCTTTGAGAGCAACCTTCTATTCTCAGTTACACCAGAGGAACAAAAACTCCTATTTAGGATGAAAAAATAACTATAAATAGTTGATGATGAAAGATTTGTCTTCTAAAAAGAGCCATGGAATTTCTTGGATATTCATCAAAGCAGGGCGGGGAAAGCACATTCAAGAATTTTAAACGAACTTACAAGGATTCTACGTATGTGAGGTTGGCTATAGAAAGAGGAACTCGGCCGCCCAATCCGCTGTGAGACAGGTTTCTGCAAGAAAAAATAATTTCACTCTTTGGTGCCATATTATTTCAAGCCTGGTGGCTTAGAACGATTTTGATTTGGGCGTACAGTCAGAACTCACAGAGAAGTTATTCTCGAAGGATTAGAGGCATTGACGCTGCATTCCAGGCCTTCCCAGGTGAAGTTTTTCGGAACACATGGATCGCCCACCCAGTTCCTTTCCACTCGATACAAATCCTGGAGATTTGAGATGGCCTCCACTGTCATTCAGGCCGGTGAACAAGTGTAAGTAAGAACGCAGAGACTGATATAGCTGCAGTCTTGATGAAGATAATGCGTGACGAATATTTAACGCTCATTACACACATTTTCATGGATGATCGATTAAAAGAAGAATGTTTTGAGGAATATGACGGATGCCCAAAACACCAGACATGATTCTGCATTTCAGTACTACACTGAGTTTCTCATCTCCTCGGCTACTCTTCTCACGCTAATCATAATCAGTACGCATCAGAATTTATGACGAGCATAATGAATGAAACTTCGAAACATGGAAGCTTGAAGATTGCTGTATTTATTGAAGGATTTCCACAGGGAAGAAACCAGAGGTGCTCACCTTCGCCCTCGTCGGTCGGCATCAAGGTAAGATGCTGCAGGGTGAACGCCTCAAGGGCGTTGATTATTGGGGGCAGGGTGGAGTTGGCCGTGGCCCGTAGGTAGTACGTCAGTCCCTGCGGCTGGCTCGGCGGGGGCAGGTAGACAGCCTGCGCCTGCAGAAAGCTCGGTCTGAACGGCCCGTGGAGCAGATTGTCGCCCGCGTAGATGCTGAACTCCCTGGTCTCGTTGTCCCCTAGCGGCTGGAGCTCCGCGGAGTATATGAACAGGTAGTTGGCCACATTGGGTCTTCCGACAATGGTGATGCTCAAGCCCTCCGAGAGGGACGTCGCCGTCGCCGCCGTCTTCAGGACGGCCTGCGGCACCGGAAACTCATCGCCTACCGGCGGGTTCACTCTGGCGACAGTTCTTATCCTATTTCCTAGTTCCACGGGTTGCCACAAGCGGTCGTAGGGGTCGTCTGGGTACCTGTACCAAGTGTTTTAGACAGAGAGACAGAAAGTTAGAGATAGACGGCTAGCGAGAGAGAGAGAGAAAGACAGAGACAGACAGAGAGAGGACATGATCTGGGTTTCCCCTCCGTAGTTAATCCGGCTCCCGATGAAGACGATAGAATGCGACGAGTTGACCAAGGTGTACATGGAATCAGGAAGGAGCCGCAGGTCCAGCTCCGATATGAATGGCGTCCCCTTTCCCGTGTTCACCAGGCAGACCTGCATGATCTCGGCGGCGGCGACGGCGATGATCTCCGCCCGACTGTAGTTGCCCGTTTCCACGGTCTCCCAAAGGTTGACGCCGAGGTACAGGTCGAACGTCGGTGGTCGACCCAGGCCGTCGTAGTTCCCGTACAAAAACTCCGCCTTCACCCGATACTTGGCGCCCCGCACCAGCGGCCCAAGCGTGTAGCAGTTGCGAACCCCGTCGGGAAAGCTCCGGACATTGGCGTAGTAGGACATGATCGACGTCAGATTGGTGCCCAGGTGGACCCTCTGGTTCACTCCGGCGCTGGTGTAGGGCTCATCCGGCAAGTACAGAATCTGAGTAACCTTGTCTGTGTAGCCAGATTCGCCGTCGAGGCCGCAGTCGATGCTGATGAACCCTGCCACAGAGATGGAAGACGAGTGTTGCAATTCCACTCCGGAAAACGGTGGAGCGCGGCGAAGGTTGTGGCATACCGGTCATGGAGGGGTTCTGCGCGGAGGCCGCCACGGCCAGCAGGCCCAGCAGCAGCCCGAAGAGCGACATCGCCGCCATGGTTGAAGCCCTTCCTTCTCCTTCCTCCGGTTGGCTGGACGACGCCACAGGCATTGGAGCGTCGGGCTCTTACAGACCATAGTCTCTCCGGCGAACAGCGGCGCACCGGTTAAAGTGCAATTATCCTGAGGGGCCCATGGCACCTGTCACCGTCGTTGACGTACTGTGCTACACTTTGTAGCCGCGAACCCCCGCAACTCCCTGCCGATCATGTGAACAGAGCACATAGTCAAACACTCCGGTAGTTGAGACATCCGAATGTGCCCAAGTCAAACCCTTCGGGGGAGCCTCCGCCAGAGATGAGAGTACAACGCAAAAGTCCAAGAACGAAGCGATCGAGTTGGCACCGTCGCCTACGCGCTTTACACTTGCTCGGGCCCAAGAGGGTTGACAGGTCGTCGCTCAATCGGCGGCGACGGATCTGGCACTGACTTTTTTGCGGCATCGTACAGCCTGGGTAACATGAGCGGCGGCAGGGTTTCACATTGATTGGCACAAAAAAGTCAACCATTAATGGTGAAAACGAGCATGGTCCATTCATCAAGCATAGGATTGGGAGCGGATTGTGGCAACAGTTTCATCGGAAAATGGGTCAAATGATTTCTCCAGACATCGAAAATTGCCTCATTTCACGATTTTGCGTGATATTATTCGTCCCATATTTTCATTCTACATCGGTGAAATAAATATGGAAGGATCACCGCAAACCAACCTACCGACATGTCCTTCAATGTTCCATACCTGAATTTTGATATTTTATTTTATTAAACGGAATTCAAAGTCAACGATTTGGAAGCCAGCGCAGGCCGGCCAGACCGGCCCGGCCCGTTTTAGTAATCTTTCATCCCGGCCTAATAGTGGACCCCGAATGCCGGGGTTACATCCTCCACCCTCCTCCTCCGTCGCCGCCCGTCTCCTCCATCTCACACTATGTCCATATATATATATATGGACGTCCCTGCCCGACCTTCCCTCCTCTCCCGACGCTCCTCACAGCGGCCTCGTCTTGAGCCCTGAATATTCAACCTCTGTATGACCGTTCGCCCAGACTAGTAAGAATATGCAGCGAGTTGGAGAATATACCTCTGTATGTATGTTTCTGTATCCTCCCACTCTTCTTCATATCATGATTTGATCCATCTGATGATTTGTCCCTGACATGTGCTAAACCATTCTTAATTTGGCTTTAAACTCTTGAGGTGCTTGATCGTTAAAGTTTTCTATAGAAATGATTATTGAGTAGGTTGAACCAGCTTGTTATACTTGGAAGTGTTGACAAGTCAACTGGTCAATGCAACATGACGCTGACTTTTTTATGCAAAGAGGCAACTGAAGAACTATCAACTCAACCATTTAGAGAGCATAAATCTGACAAATTGATTCATCCTTTATTATTCTCTGGTTTATGATACAAAAACCAAATATGCAAATTACATCATCTTTTAATATATCATCACCCCAAATTATTGCCGAACATTATCTTGCCGACGGATTGGTGTCTATATCAGAAATAAAAGGCACCACATCAACTCGACTCTGTTCACAATCATGAAAGTCACTAGATGTGTATTGCGGTGTCATATAAGGAAGACAATCCTTTAACTGTGTTACCACAGCACTCATGCTTGGTCTTTGTGTGGAGTTCGGCATTGTACAAAGCAGTGCAACTTCTAATGCTTTCCAAATTGAATTGGTATCATATTTTCCTCCCAATCTTTTGTCAACTATTTCAGTTATATCACCTCTTTGAATGTTTGATTGCACCCATGAAATTGTTGAACTTTTCTCCAAACCACGAGTAATTGGTGGTTTCCCTGTTATAAGCTCTAGAAGAACAATTCCAAAACTGTAAACATCACTCTTCTCTGTTAACTTTGATGTTTGACAATACCTGTAATAGATTAAGTCATAGAAAAATTATCAAATAGAAGTTTATGAAAAAAAAATTATATTTTCTTTCTAAGGTTATAAAAGCTGTTGAAATAGTCAAGAAGAAATAGAAATCTTACTCAGGGTCAAGGTATCCTGGAGTGCCTACAATTGCTGTGGAAATATAAACTGAATTTTCATCACGGAAGAACTTTGACATCCCAAAATCGGCTAATTTCGCTTCAAGATTGAGATTTAGTAAAATGTTTGCAGTCTTCACATCTCTATGAACAATAGGCGGCTTGCAAAAAATGTGCAAATATTCGAGTCCTGTAATGAAAGAATTCACAAACTATTTTTAGATAAAAGTATGCCAAAGAACAACTATAATTACACTACATTGACAATAGTTTTGTCATATACCTTGTGCAACTTCAATAGCAATTCTGAGTCGTCTGCTCCAACTTAAATCATTATTCAATTTATCTATATGTTTATTCAAGAATAATAAATATTAGTGGAATATAAACCTGTTAAAAAGAAAACTGACATTAACTTGTCATATAATGTCTTAAGTATGAAAAAAGAACCTGATAAGTGCATGGCCAGATTCCCATGTGCCATAAATTCATAAACTAATGCAAAGCTGTCTGGCTCGTTACAATATCCCAGAAATGACACCAGGTTTCGATGATGAACCCTCGTCAATATTTGTGCCTATGTTTGAAAACACGGCTATCATTGTTAGAATATCCCAATCTTGTCACTATAGTAGGTAAATCATCGACTTCAACTACTACAACTTGCCTCGGCTTGGAACTCTTTTTCTCCTTGAAAAGATGCTTTAGAAAGCAACTTTACTGCAACCTCGATCCCATTTCTTAAACGGCCTCGATAAACCTTTCCAAAGCCACCTTCACCAATCTGGTGTTGAAAGTTTTCTGTGATGATTACGATTTCTGCAAATGTGAATTGGCTGCTCTCTAAATTTAAACTCCCCTGCTGTTTATTAGATTGAATATCTGCTTTCATGCAAAAGGTTTCTAGTATCAAATGACTTAAGAGGTCAACATGCCACCAGGAAAATTATATCAGACATTTAATTACGTTGTGGGTTAAAAATGAAATAGAAAGGAATCACATACCTTCTGCGGTACCTTGAAGGGAAATTTTCTTTCTTCTTCTAATTCTCCAAGAAATTAGTATAGCAATTAAGAAGACTAAAACTGAGGATGCTGCAATTCCTACTGTGATGGGAACAATGATTTTGTTTTTCCTTCTTGCCTCACATGAACCTTCTCTGCATAGATTTGTGTTGCCATCGATTCTAATATTTTTCAAATAAAAATCAGTCATTAGTATCCAAAGTAAAAAAGAAATAACTATGCTCATTTCTCATAGCTAATACAAACATCAAGCCAATAATTCTCATCATCACAATGTTACCAACTTGTAAATGGTTTCGCTATGTTGTCATGTAGATCTCATTCCCATTCCCCATTATTGCCAGTGAAGGCAGCTAATAATGACAAATGCTTGTGAAGTAACCAACATTATTATCTAAACTGACGTTTAAAAATATATTCCATGAGAAATTATCTCCTCTCATGGTTCATCAGATAGGGGGCTCGCAATAATATCAAGTTATTTGGGTGATAAAAAAAATATTTTTCCGGTGCTCGGAATGCAAGGGTTATAAAATAATGAAGATAATAACGGAATAAAAAAACAGAATCCTGCATTTTCTTGAATGATCTCGCTCAGAAAATTTACCATGATGTCTAACAATGATAGAAATTTTTTTAAAAAAATAAACTAGACATCTTTTTCATTCTGTTGCTTCTTTCTTTCATGTTGTATTTTACAGAAATATGGTTTGGGATTAATATTTAACATAGTTTCCTTTGTGAAAATTCTCACCTTAGTTGTAGGGTCTGATTTTGTGACTTCTCATGAAGAATCTTGGGAACCACTCCACTTAGTTGGTTATTTTCCAAGTTCCTGCAAAGAAAAAAGTCCTTGTCGCTAAAAATTTTCAGAAATACGGTATGTACAGATATAAGATATGTGTTTGAACTTACAGAACTTTTAGTTGTAAAAGTTCGGCTAGATCAGTAGGAATTTCACCTGTTAAATTGTTACCTGATAAATCCCTGAAAAAAAACAGTACATGTCAGCAAGTTTTAATTGGTTTCCGTCATAGAACACAACGTTAATCTTACTCTATGTTCTTAAATCTGTTCAATGCCTAAGCTTCCTTTTCATCGACCAAAAAGTTATATGCTTCACCTAGAAGATCAAGGAGGAGAACAAGAGTGGGATGATGGAAGCATCTATTGACCAGAACATGAAGTTGAGTTTAGCTTGTCAACTACACTTCTCTTATGGGATCATCATAATTAGGTACAATTTTTGTAGTTTAATTTTTGAGACAGAAATTTGCATATTTCCATTTGTCATGTAGCGTAATATAATCATTATATTGCTCATACAGTTCAATAAAACTGAAATTTACCTTTTAAAGTTACTAGGATCCTAGAAAATAGGGCACACATGCATTGATCAAAATAATTTTATGTTTTATTTGATATTTTTTCTGTAAAGTAGGTTGTTGACAATTATTTGAATTTCATTTATTCACGGATACGTCTGTTTTAAGGTTTATATGTTAAAAAAAATTATACCAACAAAATAAATTTAGTCAACAGAGATGCACTCTCAAATTTTTATCTGAACCGTGAGAATTGTATTCAATGTAAAAGAAACTTACAAAGACTCTAGCGCTGTTAGATTCGCGATTGATGGAGAAATGATACCGCTAATTCCGCTACGAGACAAGTTTCTGCAAGACAGTTGAATAAATGCTTTGACTCTGCAATTCTATAAAGTAGAAGAAACTTTGACTTATTCCAACGGAAGAACACCTCAAAGAACAGCTTACAAGGCAGTAATCCTGGGGTTCTGATGGTCATTGTAACTGCAATTCAAGCCTTCCCAAGAGACGTTCTGGGGGACACATGGATCACCAATCCAATTCCTTTTCACTCCATAGGACCCTTTGATCTTCATCACGGCGTTAACTGTGCTCAGAACGCGTATAGTTTGAGTAGGAATGCATGGAGTGATACAAAATAATGAACACTGAATTAGAAACGAAAAATCACGGTCAGTATGACATGTGTTTTCAATGTCCCGGTGATTTTTCTTTACTAGAAAATGTATTCTTGTTTTCGAAGATACGATCGTCAGCGCCTCCCCTGTTTTCTCTCTAAAGCCAAACAACAATGTAAGGAAGAAGATGATGAAACTCACCGTCGCCTTCGTCAGTAGGCAACGACTTTAGTTCAACCAGCTTGTACACTTCGCGGCCATTAATGATGGGAGGTAGGGTTGAATTGGCCGTGGCCTGGATGGTGTAGTTGCTTGTTCCTCCAGGGCCTGACTCGGGGATGATCACAGTCTGTCCAACCAGGAATTTCGGATTGTGTGGCCCAGATATTAGGTTACCATTCCGGTAGACAGAGAACTCTCTCCTCTGCTTGCCCTTAATATTCTCGATCTCTGCGAAGTATAGGAACACCAACATCTTTTCTCCAGAGATTCCTTTCACGGTAAAGTTCAGGAATTGGGAGGTAGAATTCGTCTTCACTGCTGTCTCGAAGACCAAAGGCGGTGCCATAGCCAGGTCTCCCTCCTCCACCAAAACATCATTGTCAGTGCTCACCGGTGTCCCGATGCGCTTGCTTGATCCGAACCACACGCGGTCAAACATGTCATTTGGATATCTGTAACCAAAGGTATCACCACAAATCCGACAGAGGTGCGTAGGAGGATGAGGGAGGAAGGGAGGGGAGAGAGAGAGATGAACAGGGCATCACCTCATTGAGCCATTCCTGCCATGGTCCTCTCGATCCTCGTAAAGAACCAACGAATGAGTCTTGTTCGCCATGGTGTACATGGTATCGCGAAGGGGCCTCAACTCGAGGGAACTTATGAAGGGCGTCCCCATACCAATGGCGACTAAGCATACCTGTATGGACTCGGAGGGAGCAATGGCGATGATCTCCAGCCGGGAAAAGTCCTCCGGTGGGACAGTCTGCCACAGGTTAACGCCGAGGTACACGTCGAAAGTCGGCGGAGCATTTCGGCCGTCGTAGTTTCCGTACTCGAATTCGGCCCTAACCAAGTATCTTCCTCCCTTTCTCACCGGACCCAGCGTGTAGCAGTTCCGAGTTCCGTCGGGGAAGCTTCGGAGGGTCGAGTAGTACCGATGCAAACCTGTCAGATTAGTGTCCGGGGAGACGTCCTGGTTTACTCCGGTGTCGATATACGAGGCATCAGTGTCGTATACGAGGTTGTTGTATTGGTTTCTGTAGCTGTCGTTGGTCTCGAGGCCGCAGTCTATGCTGATGAATCCTGCTAAAGAGCCAGAATAATTTTGATAGAAACTCAGAACAGAGACCAAGCTGAGATTTCTACGCTCACAAACTGCGGAAGCGATGGTTTCCTTCAAACAAGATATCGTCTAGACTTCGGCTATTTCAAGAATACGCCGAGGAACACACAAGATATTGAGGCCATTAGAGGGCAGAAAGGCCTTACTTACCAGGCGGTGCCTGAGCCGAAGCCTCCATCGCCAGGAGGCCCAACAGCAGAGCTTGCAGCCACATCGCCGCCGTCGCGAGCAATCTCCTCCCTGCGCAGGTGCCTGCCGGATGGGCGATGATGGTCTCTCCTGCCGGTGCCCGGGATAGGAGAAGCAGGAGATTATCCGGTTGGATCTCCTAGCTATCCCCCTAGACTTCAGCTTCCGCTAAGAGTCAAGATCGTCCCCATGTATGACGGGAGGGAAAATGTGAAACTTCGGGAGCTCTGCCCACACGGTTTCCTTTGTTCCTACGCGACAGATGACGTACGTTGGTTTTCTCTTGACATCAGGGAAGGGTAGGTTCGGTGTCAATGATGATCTCACATAAACGACTCGTTCCTCAGATTCTTTTTAGGATAAGCAGGTAGATGGCTCAGGGACAACCAACGTGGGAGATGATCGCGGAGGCTTCCGCTTCCGGTCCAAGACTAAGTCGTCGGATATACGACAGAAATCTACGAAAATGAACGCCTACCGGCCACCCCGTTGACTGACTGAGAATTGCCGAGTCCTCAGCGGAGGGTAGAAGAGAGTTCTCTACGACCGGGTAACATTAACGTGGACTTTTTGGACACTTTTTTATTTCGATACTGGTACCTACTCTGGGACCCACGTAAAGATAATGTGTATCATGTAGGGTAGGCCGTCTTTGTCTGGTTCTCTCTCTCTCTCTCTCTCTCTCTCTCTCTCTCTCTCTCTCTCTCTCTCTCTCTCTCTCTCTCTCAGCATGTAGCCTCATTCCCTCGGGACTATTCCGTCCCCAATTTTACCGGGAAGAGCTTCAGTTAATTTTCCCAAATATGCTCCCTCATAAATGACTCTCAACCATTTAAGGTGGCATTTAGACGGCGAGGATCTGCACCACCCGGTGGGACTCACCACACCACGGTGTGACTTGAACGTCTCATTTACACCATTACTCATAGATATGTGCACTTAATATCTTCAACAATGGTAGAAGATAAATAAATTTCGGGAAAAATATGTTTTTTATTTCTATATGGCAGTCACAGCATTTAACAACTAAATGAATATGAAACATGATCGAAGTGAAAGAGATTTACAAAGATACTAGACCACTTAGATTTTTTATAGATAAAATTTGCCTCATCTAGTTTGAGGGAAACTTGTATAAAGTAATTAATTATTTTCAATTTATATGACGTAAGACAAATGTGTTATATTATTTTGTCATCACTCATTATTTCAGAAAAATTTTAATAAAGTGATAATTCATCAAATCTCCAACTGATTGTCGTTTCATAACAATCATACATGATGTGACTTAATGAGTACATAATAAATCACATAAATTTAAATTTATAAATATTATTAAATATTATTTTTTATATTTTAAAAATATTTTATTACGATTATACTATTTATAATTCAAAAAATATTTTTAAAATAGTAAAAATTTCCAAGGTCAATCATAGACATATAACATAATATTAGGTAAAGTTTTAGAATTTTTTTGAAAGAATAAATTTTTTTATAAAATTTAACCTAAATGACGAATATAGAATATATTTAAAAAATTACAAAAAATAAAAATATCAAGTATGGACATCATGATAATGTCAACATCTAAATAAATGTGATTCAAGTAAAAATATACTTTCACTTGACAATTATTATATAAATAATTACAAAATATTTATTTAATCAAATTAAAACCTATAAAAGCCAAAAGAATTGTAATTGACTAAAGAAGATTTTTAAAACCTAAAATTATAGAAAATATTATTAATTTAAATAAAAAATAAGTTTAAAATAGAAAAAATATAGTTCTGACATCATAATAGTGATCTTCGAAATTCTCAATATTTGAAATTTTTTTCATGTAATATTCATAACCTCAAAGTTTCAACTTAGACATTCACAATGTCAGCAATCTTTAGATCTACTTGTAAAGTTTAGACATTCACAATTATCACTTAGTAGAGATAAGTTTGATGGAGGTACAATCTAACTTAAAGAGCTTCATCCTTAAGTGTACATAGTAAGATTAGGCTTTTCATTACATTTGATATGCTTTAAAAAGATGACAACTCGTCGCATGAGATATCACCTTATTCTCTATGACAATGCATTTGTCAATCAACCATATATAACTTTTTCAATTAAATTCATATTTTTTGTATTAAAAATATTTAGTTAGTTGCTAACGATCATTTGTAAATGGTGTTGATAAAATTTTCATTGATGATTAAGGAATTCTGATGGTTGGATTGTTGACCAACATTCGTTGGTTTGTGCTTTTGACCCGTGTGCACCAGCCCATTCCCTCACTATATCTTCGACTTGCATGTGGGCCGGGCTAACTAGTAGGTCCCACCTTTTTTAGTATTTATTTATTTATTTTATTTTTCTTTATTTTATCTCAAAAAAATATTATAAAAATTATATAAAATCACATAAGTAATAACAAAAATATTATTAACTAAAAACTATTTTATTAATTTCATATAAATATAAGTCTATTTATCATGAGTTATAGCTTAAAATATATTATTAATTAATTATTAATTCATGATAATGAAGACTTATTAATGCCCATGTTGGGTTCATAGATCACTTAATTCAGTTATTCACTTTAGAAAACATTTGAATATTTAAGATTCATCAACTACATTCGAAACTTGTCTATTGTAAAGGAAAATATGTTAAAATATAATAAGTCTATATGACATGAGATGGAACAAAAAAACATCAAGTCAATACAAATTACTAGGGGCCACATTTGAAGAACTTGCCATCTAGCTAATAATAATTGATTTGACTAAGCTTAATAATGTTGACATTTTATTCTGTATTTCATAAAATATGTTTTCCTTGCTATTATGGACTCAAATCTTTCGTCAAAACAATTTCATTTGTTTTTTTCTGATTCTCTTAAGAAATGAGTAAAAGAAATGCTTTGTGTAAGTCTACCAATGGAGTATGTGGAGTAAAATAACCTAAACCCACTTATAGTTAATTACTTCTGAATATTACGATTAATTTCATGAATGGACTTAATGGAATCTTTTAAATCCTATTTATTTATTACTTCATTTGGTATCACGTTTTTTTAAATATAAAACATCTCGTAATAAATAAAATTCAATCCATTCAGAATAGTTGAGCAAGTGACCTGGTAATGGTGTCACAATGACTGAGTTCAATTTTTAGCGGCATGAGGTCTCCTTCATGGAAATTAGTTGTATAAATTAAGCGAACCATTATAAATATTGACAAAACAAAGTATAGTAATGGTCAATTCCTCAATTATAGGAACAAGATGGGATATAGTTCTCTTGTAGTGAAAGTTTGGATCTCAAATAGGCTCAAAATATTTCTTGATATATTAAAAATGAACTAATTTGCACGATTTTGTATCATTTAATTTGTTTGATATTTTAATTCTAAGATAATTACGGAATAATCAATACAAACCAATATATCAACATGTTTTTCTATGTTATAGAGATCGTCAATATTTCTTTTATTACATTACATGGGCTTCAATGTAAAAGATTTGGAAGACACACTGACTGAAGATTTGTCTTCTTTGCAATGGAAACCACCATGAGGAATAATGATGCAGGTATTGCAATGGAAAGCAAAATGTTCCTTTCCCCCCCTCTTCACATAGTTTACCTTTTAGCGTTCATTTGCTCTTGACTCTGAAAATTTTGAAGATAAATGATAGATTTTAATTCATAAATTTAATATTACAGTTTAATATTTTCTTTTGTGAAAGAATTGCCTATATAGTTGATGTAAAAAAATTGGTTAATGCTCTTAGTAGGCTGTTTGGATTAAGCAAAAGTTCAAACCATGTTAAATCAGATTAGGCCAGTTAAAAAAAGGCCTAGCATCAAATTGTTTGTGAGGAAAGCCCTGATTTCTCTCCTCAATTCTCTCCAAATGAGTACAGGATATGGAAACAAACGGACACACGAGTCAACCCTACAGATTTCTCATCCCTCATCCTTGATCATTTGAACAACCCTATCTCGACCGCTATTTCCAATTTTAGTTGAAAATTGCTGGCATGGGTGTATCCAATTTCACTTTAAATTTAAGATCATTACTTCACAATATATCTTGCAGTCACTGTTAATGAAAATCGAGAAGGGGGCTATGAAGCCAACAGCTCCACTTCATGTCATGCTTGTTGTCAACGTTCCTACTACTCTTCATATTCGTATAAATTGATGTGACGTTTTGTCAAAAGGGTTTTTCAAACTGTTAATCGAGTCACAAACCTTCCGTGTGCCATTCTTCTCCGTTTTCTTCTTTTAGAATATCCGTTCCTTTGTGGATACTGCGTACCTTGTGTTTATTCTTCCGCTGCTATACCAGGCCATCAGATTCAGGCCATTTCTCAACAGGTGTTAGGAACCCGACATTCCATTTACTGTGAGAGGAGACAAGTCCCTGCAAGGTAATTCAACACACTCTGTCTTCCATGTCCAAGCATCAGAGCAGCTCCTCCCCTTTCCCGGCGTATGAGCAGAATCGTAGACCAATTATATCATAAAATGATCGTCCTGGAGATGAACGTTGCATTCTTGGATTCCTTACTGTGGCTGCGGTTCAAGCCTTTAGAGTGAAGATTTTTGGAGAGGCACGGACCTCACATCCAGCTCTTCTTCGCATGATATATCTCTTTAATGTACGTGATCGCATGAACTGACTTCACTACTCGCATGAGAAGAGAAAAGGCATTCGCTGTAAGAAGCACTACAAGAAGGTGGAGCAAGTCCACATCATGTCCGTCAGTGGGTGGCCTGGACAACATTGAGGATGGGTGTGACGTAAGATGAGATGATGAAAAGGACTACACTACCCTGAAGAAGGTTAACTAAAGTGAGATTAAGTGATTTCTTGCAATATTTGAAATAAAAGGACTGATGCGATTAATAAATTGTTAAATGATTAGGGAGTGTTCCACAGTCAATAAGTCCATCAATTACAAATCAAGTGGGTTAACACTCATCACTAACCACTAGTTATGACTTTAAGTGGACTTAT